AAATGAATAATACTGAAAGTTAACATTAGGTGTCAGTATTTTACATATTATTTAGCAAGAGAATATCAAGTGAAAGAGCTTCTGTGGAGAAAAAAAAAAAAGGATATTACAGTTTGCTTTTTCAAATGGTTTAAGTTATCAGAGTTAGAGTAATATCAGGAATAATTATGTGTGAAATAATTAATTGTATATACCCCGAATGCTTCTTGCTGGTTACATCTCTGATTTAAAATTCAATATTAAGTACCACTGCTTTCTAATTGTGATAACATTTCATTCTTGGATTGTCTGAAGAAATTACTTTTCTCAAATTAAACTGCAAGACATGAGTGTCTGTAGATGACAGAAAATTGATACCCAGGTGAAGTGATAAAATGCCTAAAAAATGAAGGAAAATTAATGTTAACATGTAGATCCCTGGTTGTGTGTGATCTTTCTCAGCAAAACACAATTAAAAACTACACAGAGCTCTTAACCTCACTGCAACTGTTGAAAGCCTGAGGGAAAAATACTATAGGATCCATTTGTGCATTTTTTGAAACTGTTTTGCCATGGGAAGACTAAAGAGAAGGTAAAGTCCTCTTTCATATGTAGAAAATGATGCTTTTGTTTTCCAAAAGAACAATATACTATGAGTGAAAAAAAAAGTATGGCATATAGTTATATTCTCATCTGAGTTTGTGACATGATTGAGAATGGGAAGGACATGGCTCATTTGAGGAGCTAAAGATTCAAACCATTGGGAGTTCTTTGTCTGACTACTACAGAACTACCTTAATTTTGGTTTACCAGCAGAGTGTCATACATGGGTAGATTAAGCACTAATGACAACAGGAGGAAGAAAGGGTGGAAGATGCTAAACCAAAATAATTAACTTTTTAACCTATGTTGCATGTTTCAAAAATAGAATAGGGTCCAGGTGGGAATTCCCTGTAAATTCTAGCCCCAGGGGCAGGACTGGGCTTTGGTTGTGTTCACAAAGGTGAAAATAAGCATTCAGGGCTAAATCCACAGTAGGGCCTGGCAGGATGTGTAGACATCAAAGCTGTGACAGTAATATTTTATTGCAATACCTTTCCCTGAATCATAGAATCATTGAGGTTTAGAAAAACCTCTAAGATCATTGAGTCCAACCATTAACTCAGCACTGCCATGGTCACTACTATAATGAAGACATGGATGAGGTAGGTGTGTTATTTCATATACTCACTTATTAGCCCCACTCATTTCAGATGCAATTAACCTGTGATGATCTAACACGTTTCAGAGGGAGCTGACCTGCTCAGAGACCCTTCAAAATCTCTGCAGGTTCCCATCTGAACCTTGAGGCACTCAAACTGATGCAAATGTATTTCTGAAAAGCTCCTCACTCTCCACAACCAGCTGAGAGACAATTTTGCATTGTAAGCTTAAACTTTTGTCAATATTTGTGAAATATATTTAGACAGCTTATTCAGAAATGAGTAAGTTATAGATCAGTAATTCATACTTTTTATATCCCGAGTTTTTATTACCTAAACTTACTCTTCTAAGCATCGTTTTATGTTTCTAGTTAAATATAAGTGAGAATTGATTGAGGTATTTCTCAATGGAATTCTATCTTTATTTCATCATAATTGCTTCATATTTGAATAATGACAGATGAACTACTTCATTCAATTGCAGTTTTAAGGCTTTGAAGTCACAATAGCAGCAAAGGATTTAAATCCTGAAGCCATTATTATGGCAGAGAAGGCATCAGGGAAAAGGAAAACTTATGGTCGTGTAATTTTCTAGACAGAAAAAATTCTTCTGCCGTTGCACTTTTTTTTTCCTTTTTATTATTTTTTTTTCCTGGACATTTTTTTTAATGTTAAAAAGATCCTCTTAACAAAATGAAGTAGCTGCAACTTCTAGCAAAATAAATGGCTTCCATCTACCCTGGAAGAAGATATTAGAAGTGCTGAATGAGAGTCCATGCTGTAAGTAAACTTTTGCATTGGAGCTCCCTACAAACCTCTTAAAATTCCAGGCAGCTACAATACTGTATTTCACCAATAAAGAGTTCATTAGATCTTTTTTCTCTCTGACATTTACATCTAGTCCTGAGTACATGTTAATACTCCAAGGTATGAATTTCAAAGTTCCCTTTATCTTTGTGTACAGTTTTAAGCAATTAATCAAATGATAGAAAATAGCTTTAAAAATAAGAAACGAATTGTGAATTTCAAGTATATGTTCAAAAAGTGATTACATTCTAATTTGTGGGGGACAGGGCCTCTTATCAACTGAGCTAAGTGCAGGAGTTTAAAAAAAAAAAGCTTACATTTCATTGAAGGATTTTGATGGGATCATCAAATTGTTAAAACACGATCAAGTGATATATCCAGGATAGTTCTTTCTCCTAAGAGGTTACATCAAAGTGAGAGAGATGGAGAAAAATCATAATTTATTATG